GAGTTCAGACGTGTGCTCTTCCGATCCCCCCAAAACCCCAAAACCCCATGAGATTAGCATAGATGCAGGAATATCAAATTATATATATTAAAATATAGAGAGAGATTCTTAAACTTTAATCGATTAATACAAGTTAAGTTTGAATAACTTACCAATCTCTAATTATGATTTTCAGAGATTTTTGCTTACAGTGAAGATTTCACCAAATCTAAGCTGTTAGTACTTCTGCTTTCCTAACTCAAATTGAGTTGAAGTAGCTATCCATTTCAGTTTGAGCTAGTTCTATCAAATATTCCTTAAATTCACTCACGGTATATCCTGAGTAATAAAGGGTATGGGCTAGGTCGAAATCCTATTAAGTAAATGATCCGATACTATACTCCGTGTCTGTTATGAAACTTGCTTCATAATTAGTTAATGCAGCTTCATTGTATAAGATTTTGTACCAGTTTCTGAAATCATCTAAAAACGATTCAGTACAGTCAACTATAGCACAAAAAGAACCTGTATAATCATCGAGTAATGTGTAATCTTCTAGGGTCTATTGTTTTCCAAGATTACTTTGATCAGCTTAAGCTAATTTTTGCAATTTTATGTCAGAGTGGAGTCCATGGTTTTTTAAATTATCCAAGACTCTACCTAAATTCGTTGAAGATCCACTGTGTGAAATTTCAGATTAACCTAGATTTAGCTTTAAAGCTTCAACCTTAGTCTTGATACAGATTGATTCACCAACTAGGGCAGCTACAATCAGTGAAATTGCGAAAAATCTTTTCATATGGTTTAAATTTTAAGTATTAATTATATATCTTTGCAGCTTTATTAAATGAATCAAATTTAGTGAAATCAAGTATTGAAATAAATCTCTGATTTTTTTATATTCAGCATTCTCCTCAAAATTTAAGAGTGACTCAATTAGCGAACAATTCATAACTAGAATGTACCATGAATATTGGGTGCTCAAGAATGTTAGAATTACTTTGAAGTTACAGGGAGTTACATCTAAATATTATTGGGAAAGCTGCAAAAAAAGGGCATCTAATAGACTTTTTGATTAAAAACTCACTATGGGAGTATTGATGCTTCAATCTGGCAAGAGCGATGAATATTCGGCTGAATCATGGAAAGTCCTAGGTATTTTAAAAGTAGACCTTGTTAGATAACAGCTACAAAATGCTCATAGATTCCCCTTTTCTGTTCTATGTGCAGCGACATCCTCGAGGATATCTGAAATCAGATTCTTTCAGAATGTCTTATTTTGGATCGAGTTAGTGTTCAGCTTCTTTGTCAGGTTCTGTTTTAGTAGATGTAAGACATATTTAAAAAAGGCATCTACATGGTACTGATGCTTTATGATTATTAATTATATACCTTTAGTAAAATTATTCAATATAAATGATTTTAGATTATTTGATTTGTTTTCATATATTATAAGCAAATAGTCTTATGGGGTTTTGGGGTTTTGGGGTTTTGGGG